TTTTTTTAATTTTTCGAAGGTGTTTTGACGTTTGTGAGTATAGTTTGAAGCCCTCTAAAACTTTCTTTTACATACTTTTGATATCGGATAAGTATTTTGACGCTAGCGATTTTAATAACTTAAAAACATCGTTTTTATGGCAAAAATTGAGGTCGAAAATTTACATATCTTCCTGGGAAAGGTTTAAATCAAACAGATAACTCCAGTTTAAATTTTTTTTCGTGAAGCTGACATTTTTACAAAAAAAACAAGCTAGTGTTGATAAAAATACATGAAAAAATGGCGAAGTTATGAATATTTTATATGTAGACCAAAATTTTAGCTTTTTGACGATGTTCTTTTATTTTATAATATGTTTATTCCGTCCTGGGGAAGGTTCAGGACCTGATTCGGACGTACTCGGAACTTACTAATATCTGATACAAGATATACTCAGGACGTTTTTAGTACTTCTTTGTGCTATCTGGGTGTGTAGCAAAACAATTGTTAATTGTTTAAAACAGTGTTGTTTTCATTCATATATTAATAATATGGAGTTTCATCAAGTAAAGGTCGAAACAATCAATAATATTAATATTATGATTAGGATATTTATTTTTTAATTTATTAAGTGTAAATTTAAAAATCTGTTTCTGTAGTAGGCAAACAGAAGGTGGCAAGAAACAGTGTACAAACAATGTGAAAAAATAAAAGGAATTCCCTTTAGAACATTGTCCAGTGATTATTCACACTTTTATATTTTTGGTTTTGCACATTGTTTCATGTTAAATTTCCCACAATCCGCACATAATTTTTTTAAAAGATTGCACATTTTTGGCATATTGTTCTCAAATAATTCTGCACACTTTTTGAACATTTCATTTTCGCCAGGGGTACTAGTAATGACTTTTATTCATAACAATGCCAAAATTTTAAATGATCATTATTTTATTTAAGTTTTATTTTATTATTATGTTACAATTTATGTATCTAGTTGTATTTGTTAAACTGCAGCTGGGGTGGAATTTACGACTGCAGCCGGGGTAGTGACGAATGCAGCTGGGGTAGTGACGACTGCAGATGGGGTAGTGACGACTGAAGCTGGGGTAGTGACGACTGCTGCAGCTGGGGTAGTGACGACTGCAGCTGGGGTAGTGACGACTGCAGCTGGGGTAGTGACGACTGCAGCTGGGGTAGTGACTACTGCAGCTGGGGCACTATTTGTAGTTTTAGGTTTTTCAGTTGTAAAAACTTGCGAATCAGTAACAATTAAGGGTGAAGTGGAATCTTCTTCGTCTTCTTCATACGCATATTCATATTCATCTTCTTCGCTATTCAACCAAGTGGTGAAATCAGTGTCAAACTACAATTATATATTTTCTATATAAATAATACAAAAAATAAAAAAACTAATTGATACTTTCTTTTTTCTTTTAAATTATTTAAAATTGTGGTTAAGTAAACTAATATGTGTTTTATATATTTAAACTCACCAGGTTCCAAAATATGGGCTTTCCATTTGTAATAGTCGCAAAATATGATGCTACGAAAATTATAACTAAACCTTTCAGCATTTTTACATTTATACTTAATACCTATACAAGCTTTTCAATGTATTCACAATATATACGTAAAATATTAAAAAAAAAAAATGTTTCTTATTTATGCATCAGCATGTTTAAAATAGAACATGATTTTTTCATAGTCACGAAAATATTTTTAATTTGTATGTTTTTCTGTATAATGCACTAAAGGTGTTTTTCCTTAAAATAACCATCATTTAGGCACGTGCGTTATAAATCCAATACTAATTAACAGTAACAGACAAACAATTTAAATGTGTAAAAAATGTTTTAAATGATAAGGCATTTTATTTAATGGATTTCAAATTTATTTGTTAATTGTATCAACCTGAAGAAGTCAATTTTAATAACATTCTATTATATATAATAGAATATTATGTATCAAGTTTGATAAAGGCCATTTTAGACAAGAATTTAATTTAGGCACGAGCGAGCTTGCGAGCGAGTGCTTAATTAAATGAATGCCTAGAAAAGTTTATAAACGAGTTGCATACTATACTTTTTCTACGACAAACACTAAAAATAATTTAAATTGAATATTTGTATATAGCGACATCTATGAAACAATAGAATTACCAACTTGAAAATGTGTTTATGTAAAATGTCAAATTTTTTATCTAAATCAAAATGTATCGTTGAAAATAAACAGTTTAATCGGATATAGAAAGAGTTTTTTACAGTGAAAGTAAAGAAAATGTTTTATTGGCATTCCACAGTGGAGTCTTTACCCAACATGAAGTTAATGTAGTTTACTGCCGGCGACATTAAAAGGTAACATGTTCATATGGGTGATTCTACAAAAGTGGGGCAACTTTTGACCTCATAGTTTTTGGAGAAAATTAAACAGTATTTTGTTATGAGAACATAGATAATATAATAAATAAACTGTTCCAGGCCGGGCCAGTCTAAATTTTAATGCAAGGGAAGTGACGAGTATTCCAGGATACTAATTAAATACATAATTTATTGGAAAATATAAGATTTATTTTGAGCATTTTATACATTAAATATCTTAAAATCAAATAATACCACAAATCAGTGATGGTTGGTGGATTTTGGGTATACCGATATCTCAATTATTAGATATGGCACCCACACCAAATTTATATGAGTTTATAATGACATTAAATAAACAAGTTCTGCGCAAGTTTGCGAAAAAAAGATAACCGAAACATCGAACATGGAAGTTCCATGATGGAACTGACGACACGGTACTGATGAATGGGATACAAATTTAAGATTATAATTCGGAATTTAGTATTTTACTGATATTTTTTATTAGTGGATGCTACTTATCAACAAATCACATATAGCCTTATATAAATTACAATGAAATATATATACGTAAGAAAATAACTACTCACCACAGTACTGAAATTTTGACTGGAACTATACGTGCATTCACCACAACTTCGCCGCTTGCATTGTTTTCAAGATGACTGTCGAGCTCTGTAGGTAACTTTTTACCAACACTTGAGTTAAAACGAGGACTTGACGTTTAAAGTTTAAACTTATTTCGCAGGCATTTTGAATTTTAACATTGGACACAGAACTGACGGGTAAAATTGAGTACAAAGATTATCAATTTTTTTTAAATTGCTATTATTCGAATCTATGATAAAATATGAAGAATACTTACATTATTTAATGTTTTATAGTTTGTAGTAAAATTCAAAAATTTAAGTTAAAATGAATATATTTTAAAATAAAATCACTCAAATATTTGATTCAGAAGTTGTGACACGCCAAGGTACTGATGTTTTGAATATTTATTATGTTTTTTTACAAACGTGCTTTTGAAAAAATACATTAAAATTGGGTAGTTAAAAAAACCTGGATCTTTTGTTATATACTAAAATATTTACAAAAAATATTAAAATACCAAGTTGTCCAACTTTTGTAGAATCACCCATATAAACTTTTCAAATATTGGCGCTAAGAAACTATTTAATACTTTTGTATTTTTGTTTTGCGATAATAAAATAATTTTTACATTTAATATTATTTTACAAAAAGGGCACTTTATTTTAACGATTGTATGACATTTAAGAACTCTCAACTAACTTCAGCCCGTGACCAAAAACCTATTGCTAACTTCAGCCCGTGACTAAAACGCTATAAAGACAAAACTTGTCAATGTGAATTTAAAAGATCACAAAGGGCCGGTTTTTCAATCATAGTTTAAACTTGTTTCAGCATTTGAACTTGGCTCAAACAAAATATGCCGTTTTTCAATCAAAGTTCAAGCTTGAATTTGGTTTAAACTAAATCAAAAGATGAACCGTCACTGTTGGCCGTTTAAACGAAGTTCAACTTTTTTTCTCTACTTTATTGTGTATTAGGTTAGGAAATTAGCGAATTCCTAAATAATATTTAACTGCGTGTGCACAGGCCACTGGTAAGACCAAATCATTTTGCAAGGTGAAATAATGATGGATTTTTTGCCAGATTTCGGTTTTCCAAACCATTTGTACGTAGGATAGTGGATTTAATTAGACCAGTTATTGCAAATCCGACCAATAGGTTAGTTATAAAAATAATTACTGAATAGGTAATAAATTTTAGTAAAATTCATCACGTGTAACAAAAAACGACAAATTCATTTTATACATATATATACGAAACACATACATAGGTACCAATAATTCCTCCTTAAAAGAGGTAAAATTGGCAGCACGATTTTTATCCATAATAAATAATAATTATTGTTCTTTAACAATAGTAAATTGTTTTAAAGCACCCTTTCGCACAGATAAGAACTTATTAAAACAGCACAGATAAACAAAACTCCAAAAGAAAACACAAAATCCTTTTGTCAAAATGACAGTTTTAACTACTATTAATGTAGGCGTATACTAAATTCGGTTGTACCAACTTAATGTTGACACCGATGATCTAAGTTCAACAGAACTGCTGTTGAGTCCACATTGAAAAACTTATTTGACTGTGAACTGAGTTTATTAACTGATCTAAGTTCCCCTGAACCAAGGTTTAAACCCTAATTGAAAAACCGGCCCTTAGTGTCATGGAAATATGTACGATAATAAGCGTTTTAAAGGTGTGTGTAGAAAAAATTGTTTATTCGAAATCTGCTATTAATAGAGCACAAATTATCATTTAGTAGTGGCTAATATGCATTACTAGTAGGATACACTTAATATATTATAGAGGGTGTCCCAAAATTTGAGGCTCAAAGGGTAAAGGCAAATTTTCCTTTGCCATTTTTTAGAATTTACAAAATTGCAGCCGCCAATGAGAGCACACTAGTTCTATAATTGATAAACAATTAAATTTTTACGCAATTTAAGATTCTGGATTTATAACAACTTATAGATTAGATAAGATATTCTCATATTTTATTAATTGGTTTTAAATCATATACAGTGTCTAACCACATATAAGTACATGTAGGTATATGTATTGATAAGATTTGATATTATGTGGTATTCATATTTTATATTTGTTTGTTTCTTTTTAGAAAAGGTATGTAATCTTAAGGTGTAAAATGGGTTATAATTTAAATTAATGTAAATTGAATTTAAAATAACTTCAAACCAATTTTTAAAAAATATACCTAGTAATTTTAATTAATTAAAATGTTTTAGGGCAGCAGTCAACAATTAAAAATAATACATGGAGCACCTGTTATTGCTCCCTATCAGGTAAGGTAAAATTTGTTAATAATAATTATTGCTATTTTTAGAGGTAACTTGCTTAATTTTTTATTTAATATACAGTGTGTCCGTAAAGTCCCGGAACATGTGATTATTTTGAAAACGTTAATAAAAAAAAACGCTGAAACACGTCAACTTTGTTATTTTTCTAGCAATATTTTAGCCTATGTAGTTGTTCCAAAATCTGCCACGTGGCGGCGCCCCAATCGAAGTAAGGTTTTTTTAAATTCCAACCCTTTATTTTTGTTGCATTTTTGGATAGCTACCGTTGTCCTGAGTACATTGATATGCTACATGTGGAGGGTTACATAAGAAAATTTTTGAGAAAAGTAGGTTTTTGCCGCTGATTGAGATTTTGGTTTTGACGAACTTATTCGCTGTTACGGGGCACCACTACATTATGCATTGCTAGTAAGGGATTATTTAAATCAGGTCTTTCCCAATCGCTGGATAGGTCGAAGGGGTCAAATTGAGTGGCCAGCGCGATCGCCCGATTTGAACCCTTTAGACTTTTTTATGGGGACATCTTAAAAACCGTGTCTATGTAAACAGGCCTTAAAATTTGGACGACCTAAGACACCGCATTCAAGCCGAGACGTACAACGCTCGTTTGTAGACAGGCTGGTCCACTGCCAAATAGTTTACGGTGGACACTTTGAGCAACTGCTCTGATTGTCTTTCCAAAAAACATAGATTGTGTTTAAGTTAGACAAAATACGAAAATCTCATTCGGCGGCAAAAACCTGCTTTTCTCAAAAATTTTCTTATGTAACCCTCCAGATGTGGCACATCAATGTAATCAGGACAACGGTAGCTATCCAAAAATGCAACAAAAATAAAGGGTTGCAATTTAAAAAAAAACTAACTTTGATTGTGGCGCCGCCACGCGGCAGAATTTGGAACAACTACATATGACAAAATATTGCTAGAAAAATAACAAAGTTGACGTGTTTCAGCGTTTAAAAAAAAATATACTGTGTAAAATAATCTCATGTTCCGGGACTTTACGGACACACTGTATAACCACACTGTCTCTTTATTTTTAAAATCTCAAAATAATTACAATTCCTAAACTAAAGTTTCAAAATCATAAACGACTATTTAAAAATATGGGAGTTATTTTCTGCATTTAATTTAAAAAGCTGAAAATTAAAATGTTTACATTATTGTTAAACAATTTGTTTATTTATGCTTTTTTGTTTATTATACTTTTGTTAGAATAATTTTGGGTTCTACAGTTTTTTTTTACTAATTAGTGTTTTCATATTTTGATATTTATAAATTTATAACAAGAAATTAGAATAAATAATTATAAAAAATATTTGCGTATTTCTTTAAAATTAGAAATTTTCAAGAGCTTTCCAATGAGGTATCACAAAGAGTGGATTGCCATTTAAAAAATTTAGTTGGAGTGGGTACAGCCCCAGGGGTTGCTTAGTGAAGGTCATTTTTGTAGTCATACTGATTCCCCCCACATATCCTAGAAACGGTTTTGAGAAATTTTTGATATCTTCTTTAGGTACAAGCACATAATTGAAGTGAAATTTTCAAAGATGATATAAATGTAAATAGTTTTAAACTATAAAAGATTAATGATTAGAGTTGTGTTCATATTATATCATTGATATACATATTTTATTTCTTTTACAAATTATTAAAAAAAATCCAGTTACCGATTATTTACTAAATAGTTAATAAATAATTTCTGACCAGTTATAACTATACTAACTAGTATACTAACTATTTGCTGACTACTAGTTACTGACTAATTTTAAAAATAATGATAATGTAAAAAACTAAAAATTTTGTTAATTTAAAAAATTTTAAGACTTTGGAAATTTTGTAAAATTTTAGAAACCTTAACCTTATGTAAAAAAATAGGCAATCCATCTTACGGCGCGCCGCGGCGACCGCAATATTGGATTGAATCATTTTCATCTCTCTCTCTCTCTCTTAGTAAGTAAGTCTTATGCACATCCACTTCAATAAATGACTCAACCTGCGACGTTATTCTTCTCAGATCCTTAAAACCGGTAGTTAATATAAATAAATTATATAAACACAGTGTTTAAAACACTGCGATTTTATTCTCTCCTGATGGTTAAAACTGTTTAAAACCTATCTTTTAATGTTGCAAAACACGCACAAATTGACGTGACCCTAAAACTTTTGCTCTCCTGATACTTACGGGTGTTTAAAAGCGTTTCATATTTTCCGTAAAATATTAAACGCTTTAATTTTTTGGATTCCTCGCCAAAAAAGTTTTACTGGAAAAAAAATTATATCGATTATTATCCAGGTGTGCTTCATTGGGTTGCAACCATATACTTACTTGTGGTAAGTATATGGTTGCAACTTTGTTAAAAAACTTGCTGCCATATGTTTTTTCTTTCAATTGGAATATAATATCTGGTTTGTTATTGTACAACCGACTTCTTAAGCATTTCTAGAGAAAAAAGTCAAAAGAAGTCAAATTAGGACTTCCCTTTAAGCAAAATAAGTTACCTTAAGTACCTTAATTTTCTAATTTTATAGTATTTAAAGATGTTATTTTTCAGGCAGAAATTTCAATTCAGGATGGAAGGAATGAAAAACGTTGTGGCGGATCATTAATTAAAAAAAAATACGTTCTTACTGCAGCTCATTGCTTCGATGGGTAAAGTGTTTCTAATGTACCTTAAATACCTTAAATATTCTTAGCTTGACTAAAAGCTTTATTATAATACTCGTAGATCAAATCTTAGCAGTTAAAAGTAACAATCATAAAAGTTATATATGTTTGAAAAACTATGCGCTAAAGAAGTATCGGGTTTTCGCAACGCGCGCGCCATATGGTGGACGCCATTGCGTGAATTTAAGAATTGTCAACAATAAATTTAAAGCATCGATTATACATAATTTTTAAATAAATGGGTAGGTTTTTTTTACAAAAGAGAGGAAGGCAGAAGTCTTACTCGACAAATTTTGTTTAATTGCACAGCTAAATCGCGCACGTGATTTGTGCTTTACGTTGCAAGGAAAAAATTAAAAAACTTTTAGTACTATTACTGTTTATTGGAAAACCGGTAAAAACTCAACCCAGGATTTCCTCTCGAAATACACCAAACAACACAACAAATCGATCCACGGTTTTTTTTTTTCGATATTTTTTAACATTTTCCGTCTTTATTCTCAAAAACACTCGTTTGTAACCTAAGCGTTTGACAGCTGATTATTAAAAGTTCTACTTTTGTTACGATGATAACAGCCGAGTGGTGGCGGTACTAGCGATACTTCTTTAGCGTATAAACACCTTTATTTTTTTTAAATAGGAACATACATTTATGTTATAACATGAATTAACCATATATGTTCACCCATAATATAACAAATGGTATGATATCATCGATGATATTTTCGAACTGAAACCGAGCTGCAGATTTCACGAGTCCGCAGGACGAGTGAAATGTGCTGCTTCGGTTTTAATGAGTAAATATCATCGATTATTAATCATAGCACGAGTTATATTTAGTGAGAAAATATAATGAATTTTAGGATTAAAAAAATTGTCAGTTTGACATTTAAAATTAATATGTGCTTTAAAATATAAATATAATTCATTATTTTAATAATATAACAAACATAGGATATAAATGTCAACAAATGTTAAATCAAGAAACGTGTCAAAATCCTTAGTAACGTGTAAACAAGGTGATACAAAAATATTGTCGCTGGGATAAAATGCGTAACTATGGAATACTGGCATTTTATTGGCTCTAATATTATTGTCACTAAATCAAAATATTTCTAAAATTTACTAGGTCTGAGAATTTAACCAAACCATTCTATTTTTTTAAATTAAATTTTAGACGAAATGAAAATACAGTAGTAGCAGTTGTTCTTGGCACAAACAATTTGTCTAGTAATGATGGTCAATGGATGGAAATTCTTTCAGATGATATTATCATACATAAAAACTATAGTAATTCTGGTTTAGAGAATGATATTGCATTAATCCGTCTTAGTACAGATGCAGACCTAAATGGTAAACAAATAAAAATGTACACTTTTTAAACAATTAAATTGCTTGTATTAAATGTTAAATTGTGATTTATATGAGTTGTTTAACATTTTTAATTATTTATTGACTGCCATTCTGATAAAGAAAGCGGTTATCTAAATTTTTTTATGAAAATCTTTGAATTTGTCTTAAAAATGCGCTTTTAACTGTTACATCTTTATACAGAAATTTAAGTAATGATCCATTTATAGAAATGTTAGTTTTAGTTAATGCAACGATTTTAGAAAAATCCTGATAAAAAGGGTTTCTACAAGTTTTATACTGTATCTACACATTTGTTCTATTTACATTGTTTGATTAAACGTTTTCTAGCCATCTGCGTTTCCGAAAGAAATGCAGTCGAGTTAAAGCTAATGTTCTTCAAAAGAGCAGGGCAATTACAAATAATGTGCATTAGATTCTCTTTTCCACAGTTACACCTACCTTGTCAAAAACTTTCTGACCTTGGAATTATAACAGGATACTGTAGATTAAATATCTACTATATAATACACGATAAGAAAGTAAAAAGACCTCTGCTTTCTTATTCTGTATTATAAAGTAGATGTTTAACATAGTGTCCTGTTATGATTCCGGCATGGTCAGAAAGGTTTTGACGAGATAGCTGTAAACTGTATTAGGTCGGCTTGTCAGATTAGTGATTATAGTTTTGGTCTGACGGCATAAACTTAAGTTAACCCATCTTCTGAGTTGTTTTTCATGGGTTTGTTTTTTATCGGGACTTTTAAGGTTGATTTTGTTAAAGACAGGACAGGTTTAGGACCCAATGGTAGCTTTGCCGTTCACTGTCTTGCAAGTTTATTAGCCTTTTCATTTTCTTCATTACCATTATGCCCTTATGCCCATATGTAGTTCTAGGACATTAGCTTTAAGGCAGCAAAGCATTTCGCTACCAGCCCAGAGTCAACCTTATTGTCTGATTCTTATTGTTTTTCCATTTATATGGAGTTCTATTATTCTATGATCAGCCCCCAGTATGCTTGTAATTTCACACTAAAATATGATCATATACCCAGTGATATACTGAGATATACACCAGTTCTACCTTAACTGCGTTTTTGTTTTAACAAAAACCAGTTTAGGAAACATATCTAACGCCTGGTGAAGCAACGTATCTACAGTTTCACGTGAAAGCACATTTGCAAAAATTTTAGCACTGATAAAAAGAGCAGGTTTAATTTAGTCTAAAGCGGTCTTTTAATATAAAAATATATCATTAAATTCTCGGTTTGACTCAAAATGTAGATACACATTTTTTCCGTATTAGGACGACAGAACTATTATTCTAAATTAGTATCACAACTCTAAATCACATTTACTGGAAGGAGTACCTATTATACAAAAATATTATAAATATTATAATTTTATAAATGATAATTTATTACGTTAATTTATTTCTAATATATTTTAGATTATATCCAACTTATTAATTTACAAAGAGAAGACGCCCATTTGAGTGGAAAAACCGTCCTGGCGACTGGATTTGGATTAATAACCCAGTAAACACAATTACGTAAATATGACGTAAATATGACGTCATGTCAAGTCACGCTTACGTAAGATATAGGTCACACTTGAGTCATACAAGAGTCATTATTTCACACTTCCTTACGTCAGACTCTGACGTAATAAATATGACATAAATATGACGTAAACATATTGATGTAACACTGACATCATACCATTACATAATATTTACGTAATAAATGTGACATAAATATGACCTCAGAATGACGAAGCCCCCTTCCTTATTTTTCATCACTGTTTAAGCAGACTCTGCTTAGCAGAGGACCACGGATATTCCATGACAAAACAATCCTGACTCCAAGAAAAAATTCCAGCAAAAAATCTAAATTTTATCGTGGTCCCCAATTCCTAATTCGTGTATTTGCCGAGGTTCGTTCGGATCCTAAATCTCTAATTGAAATGCAGCCAGTGTCAACTTATATACTTAACGATTAGTGCCACATAAGCGAGATGTATTATGCAATGGGGGTTGCCCATGATAAGTAGATTTTAACTTTATTATAGTAGATGCCTACTTATTATAGGCAACCATTACTGCATATTGCAACTGTTAACAATTAATATATCAATGTTATTTGACAACTTTACCCTTATTTGTCTGAAACACAATAACCGGACCAAATTATAATATTATTATAAAATTTGTTTATCAATGAAGAATTCTTTAATAGTTTACATATATTATTAAAAATCTCTTGGTTTCTTAATACTAAATATTCTCAGTGTACTTAAATAATTTCGTTTTTCAATTTCATTTCTTTTATTTATCATTTTTTAAATTTAAAAAATATACTAATACCCACAATATTGTGCAAATACATATCTATTATTATAGGTATTATATTTATATATAATTATACCATATTATATTATAATATTAAATTCTTTAAATTTGGTTGTATTATTTTTTTTTAGTTTTATTTTTTGAACCTCTGTATTTGGAAATTGAAATTTTAGTATGTTAAACAAGGCATTAAATATATAGGTACTACCAGAGACAAGGGTACTCTGGGTACTACTTTTTGACTTTAACCAATTTTGAAAAATTTCTAAAATGGCGTCGTACTGTAAAAAGGTCACATTTTTTTCAATGGGAAATGGAATCATTACCGAAAAGGTATTTATTGCAAGCTGATACTTTATCTAATTTACGAAGCTGATCAAAACCAACTCACAATGGATTTTAAACCAACTACTAATTTTTCAGATTCTTTACAGGGTATGTCAGAAGTAAGAACAAACAAAAATCGCTTTTTATGAGTAGCTATAGCTATAGCTAGGGACAATATTCAACATTTAAAAATTATTTTTATTTTAAAAATTTAAAATTTTAGTATTTTAATAGGTAACATTTTTTGACATGCATGGATTAAAAAAAAACAAATGACGTCGTACTGCCAAGGTCACATTTAAAAAAATTTGAAGTGAGTGAAATATCATTTCAGGTCTTTTAAAGCGTAACTACTTATTTTTTCGATTGTACAGGGTGGAACAAAAAAATTCTACTTTCACCAAAAGCGCCATTTTCAAAAATTTTCAAAAAATAATAACAGTAACATACTATACAAAAATAACACCTTAACACGTAATAACACGTAAATCTTTTGTTGATAATTTTTTACAATTTAAAAAATAAGTAGGTACTTGCAAGTACTTGCAACCATGATTATGAGTAGGTACCTACATGATTTTTCACATAAAGCAGTAGGAACCGGAATCATAAAAATCTATATGATGTTTATTACATATTAAATTAAGATACATTATTTTTTTATTGATTTTAAACCATATTTTCATTTAATCGACCAAGTACTAAGTAGCCAAAAAATTCAAGGAACTTCGCGTTAGTTCTTTCATCATGCTAGATGCAAAAGTAATTTCAAAATATGAAATTTGCTGTATTTTAATGTTTGAATTAAACTGATTGGTAAGGAAAAGTATCCACTGATTTTATTGTTTAAAATAATCGGCGTCAATTTCAATTAATAGAATTTACTTACGTTATTTTACTCAATGATTGGAATTAACCATTTCAATCAATAAAAAATAAAAATTATGTTTGCCTATTTCACTCATTAAAAATAAAAGTCCATTCATTGAAATTAGTTTAATTCAAACATTAAAATACAGTGAATTTCATACTTTGAAATTACTTTTGCATCTAGTTCGTCTAAATAATATGTATGACAGATTTCTTATGTCAGTCTTACCTTACAAAGTGACCTTAAACTTATGTAATGGTATGACAGATTTCTTACGTCAGTCTTACGTAAGAAAGTGACCTAAAACGTATGTAATAGTATGACGTATTTCTTACGTCAGCCTTACGTAAGAAAGTGACCTTAAACTTAGGTAATATTATGACAGATTTATTACGTCAGTCTTACGTAAGACAGTGACCTAAAAGTTATGTAATATTATGACAGATTTCTTATGTCAGTCTTACGTAAGAAAAGTGACTTTAATATTACGTCACGATATGACTTTAATATTACATAAGATGTACGTAATATGTAAGTCATTTAATTACATCATATAAAAGTCACGTTTTGGGTCAGTATTATGTCACTATGACGTAAAAATTGAATTACCTAGATATGATCTACGTGTTACGTAAATTTTAGGTCATAAGTCACGGTTTGGTTCACTGGGAAACGATTCCGAAGAAATTAGCGACTTGTTACTTGGTGTGAATTTAACATTAATACCAAACAATTTGTGTTCTATTGGATATAAAAACATTTTTGACACTCAAATTTGTACCCTGGGTAAGGACGACAAGAGTCCCTGTCGTGGAGATAGCGGAGGTCCTTTGGTTGACGTAGAAACTGGATTACAGGTTTATATACATTTTTGTTCTACAGGGTGTCTCGAAAACTATAATAAAACTTTCCTCGAATTATTCCTCAAGTGTAATTTTTTTATGACCACTGCGTTCCGATGCATTTTACATGTATTTATATCTCTAAAGGCATTTTTCAATGTCCGTTTAAGTTCCTATAAGTTTACCTGGCAAATAACTTTAATGGGTAGTATACCATTGTTTTGTCATTAATCTCTATTATTATCTGTAGGATAAACTAACTGGAACTTAACCAGGGAGTAAAAAACCGACCCCAACTCTATAACCCGAACTGGCATTTCTCCAATTCAACTTTTGTTGCAGTTCCTTTCATATCGAGTTAGGAAATTAAAGTTTAAAAATTTAAGTTTAAAATAAAATGACATTGTATTTTACGTATTTTTAAACAGGGTGTTATTTAAAGTATATTAGCTCCCACTCGATTTAAAAAATAAACATAGCGAGGAAAACATATTATATCCAACAATTATTGAGAATATTAGGTGTATTATTTATTTTGTAATTGATGTAATGAATTTTATTAAAACTTAAGTCATGCTGATAAAAAAATTTTATAACGATTTATAGATTTTTTATTTTTAGGTAGGAATTATTTCATATGGAACAAAATACTGTGAAATTGGATGGCCTACTGTAAACATAAGAGTTTCAAAATATATAGAATGGATAGAAACATCTGCAATAGAAAAAACACAACTTTAAAACATGTATTCACTTTTAACAAAAATTAAATAAACTTCAGTTTTTGTCTGCTTAAGAAAATATAGTTATCACATACTAAACACTGATTTATTTGATTTTTTATTTATCTATTTTTTATACAGGGTATCCAGATAGGGACTCCCTATTAGGGAGTTTAACCCGTAACCGGTACTGTACGACTTTTAGGTCATAAACGGTACTAAGGGGTCTGAGAGACACCTGCCTTTTAAAATTATAATTTATATTATTTTTTTTATCTGAGGCTTTGGGGATACTAGGAACTATATATAAAGTTAGAATATCACCAAAAATAATACCCAAATAAAAGAAAAATTTAAATAAAAAGGTTTTAATCAAAACATGTACAAAAAGTGCAGTAGTGCAAACTTTGTGATTAAACTATAAAAACTATTAAACCAAACAAAATAAACCGATCTTTATTTCAAAGAATATACCTTAAAAAATAACATAAACAAAAAAATTCAAATATATCTTTTTTAAACAGCAAAAATAACTGCTTCAAACTATAGCTGATTTTTACAATTATTTTTTCCGTAGTAACTTTTTTGTTTTTTTTTCAAATTCCTAAAAAATTTCAAATTCTTCACTATCTGACCTTATAAAATTATTTTCTATAGACTCTTCACAGACAAGTCCTGAATCGCTGCTGTGATTATCTTCAACGACATAATCACTATAATGGTTATGTAATATACTACAGTCATCTATATCACTTAAATCGCCGTCGATTTCATACAACTACTACATTACAGTTTTCTTGAAGCCCTTCTTATCACTTTGGACACTTTTAAAAGGTCCTTGTTGCGAATCCATAAGGAATTAATTGTTTTATAAAAGTTACGTAAACGGTACACAGTGTTCTACTAGACACCTCAACACTTTGACTTGTAATAATTTGTCCGTTTGACAATCCAACTTGTTCAAAGTCTGAGAGCATATTGATAACTGCTTAACTTAAAAGTATTGGAAACGACAGATTTTTAAAACAAAAGGTGAGGGTGTGACAGCGCTTTGTTCGTTGATGAGTGTCTCCCAGACACCACAGTACCGGTTACGGGTTAAATAAAAATTACACATGAGAAAACCGTTGTAAAGGAAAACAATTTAAATAAAGTAGATGCCGTTGACAATGTTTTTTTTAATTAAAGATAAATCATCTTTTAAAAAAAATAAAAGCTTATTTTGTGGGTTTTTGTTAAAATGAAACGCAATTGCTCGCTGGCAGTGTTGCCAGATCTAGGGGGATTTAGGGTTTTTTTGAACTTGCGGAGGGAGTTTTATGGGGACAAAGTTCTAAAGGGGATTTCTGTAATGGGGATTTTAAGGGAAATACGAAAGTATGTACTTAAGGGGATTCGCTAAGTTCCTAAATTTTACTTACGGTGCGGAACACGGCAAATGTTGGTGATTTTGATACTTACCTGGTGATATTTCTATGGATACCCATCTAAAAAGTTTTCTCTGAAAAAGTTTTAATAAGTAAAAATAAGAGGCTTACTTTTTCTTTAAAACTATAAATAAAACTTATTAAGTCGAAAAAAGTTAGAATAGCTTCTTTTTATATATGCAAATATTTATCTAACCATTGTTCCAAACAATTGTTCTTTATGTTTTAATATGTGTTCTAGACGCAATATCGATTTTAATAAATAAAAATAAGAGTTTTGAAAGTCTTAAAAACTCTGAATAAGACTAAGTCGGAAAAGTCATAATAAGACTTATTAGGTCACAAAAGGTCTAAATAAGTCTTAGTAAGATATAATAATAGCAAGATTTGGGAGTATTCTAGAAGAGTTATAAGACTTAATAAGACTTTTAGTAGATAAATAGCGATAAAAATAAATATCCGGAATAATTCAGAGAGGTTGTATTTGGTTATTGTAAAATAAAATACAGTAAAGTATTTATTAACATATTTGCTGTTGTTATATGCCAAGTTTATTGCATATTTACCTATTTAATAACATATGAGTAAAAACACGTCAAGTGGACCCCCCATTTTCCACTTGATCATCGAATTTGAATGTGAGTATTTTTTCAGAAAGTAGTCACCATGAACAAATAATCCCCCGCTCAGTTTTTTTTAATTTTAATTTTAACAACAATTTTTTTTTAATTGAAAATTTTTACTACTTTTAGTTAAAAAATTAATAATGAAAAATCTATTGGTGATTTTTTAATGAAATTTTCAGGAGTTTTAGTTCAATACTTGTACTTTAAGAACATATGTATGAATTTGAATTATTTTTTTTTTGCATATTGTTAATTCACTTTTAAGTTAACAAATGAAAATTTTAATGACTTCTCCCTCAAAAAATGAAAAATTTTTTGTTCAGTATTTTGCAATAAACATTCAAGTAACGAAATCCGCAAAAAAATTTGACATCGCGATTAGATTAAGCAAAAAAAAATTTTTTATGACGGGCGGTCAGCGCTGCCGGTATTGCGCGCTGCCGCGCGTCATTGACTTACCTTTAGATTTACTCTGTAATTATAAATAAGGAATAATACTTAATGTTTTAATTGAAAATATCGTTATTTTATGATTAATTTTATTTAAACAAATGACAGAGATAATAAATTATATATTTTTTTATAAATAAAAAACAAAGAAGTTAAATAAAAATTTTTAAATTAATTCTTATAACTCATACTTATTGCTTTATTTCTTTTTTTTTAAAACGTTATTGTTAACGATTTTAAGGGCTTTGGAGAAAACTTTGCACTCGAGTGATGTATTATTAACAGCTCTGTAATGGTGATATTGGCGTGTATTTTTTATGGTTACACATTGGTCATAACGTAATTTAAACTTCTTCTCATGGGAGTCGTGATCTTCTTGGGAGCAAAAACCAAAGTTAATTTTTTTAAATGCATTCTTACCCCATTCAAATAATGAAGTTGGATTGGTTATATGCTTATCGCTTTCCCGTTGAAGACTTGCACGAAAAGCTTGCCTTTTAAAACTTCCTCCCAAACCATCACACGCCCCTTTCCCGTGAGAAGTAGCAAAAAAATTCCATTCCGCGTCAACGTTAATAGTATATTAAAGTACAAGTTGCAGAAGGCCACATATTCTCGCACGAATTAGAAATTTGGCCTCGAGCGACGAAGGAGCGAGTGGACGAACGAATGAGTGCGAGAATAGCCTTCTGCAACGTGTGATTTATACTATTTTCTCGATTTTAACTTTTATTTAGGTTTTTTTAAATGTTTTGTGGTCGTTGTTAGTTGGGGGATTTTTCTTGCAAAATGTCAGTTGGCAACACAAAATGACAGTTGCATGGACAGGTAGATTTATTTTTATTTACTATTTATTAATAATCTGTCTGTATTTGTCAACTGGATAATAAGGTTTTGTGTAAGTATTGTATTATTTTTTAATAACTTTTAGCAGTGAAAAATGTCACAGGAGGTTTTACAAGCAACACTGAACATTACAATAAAAGTTTATAACAATTGTGCTAGTGATTAATTTATAGTAGTTTTGTGTTTTGTGTACTGTGGGTATATAATATTTCCAATAAAATATAGTTTGATTGACCTGTCTGGCTCATTTATTTGTCAATATTTGTTATCCTGCACAAGTACAACTGAACTGCACTTTTTCACTAGCGTCTAGAGGCACCGAATTATCTTGGCTCCCTGGCTCCTAGACATGCGCGTTTTATAGAAATGTACTCAAACTCAACAACACAACCCAACCGACCCCGCTCCATTGGCCCCCCCCCCGCCCCATTGAGCAAAAAACCCAACTAAAATGGGCAAATTTATGTAATTAAAAAGTGTTTTATTTTTATCGTAACATAAATTTGCCCATTTTAGTTGGGTTTCGCTCAATGGGGCGGGGACGGTTGGGTTGTGTTGTTGAGTTTAAGTACATTTCTATAAAACGCGCATGTCTAGGAGCCAGGGAGCCAAGATAATTCGGTGCCTCTAGACGCTAGTCACTTTTTCACATTAAACTTAAAATTTTGCATTAAAATGCATTGTTGGAGCAAACTTAATATAACAAAACAATAATAAAGGCTTCATTTTCAATAAAAGTGTAGTTCAGGTTGCACTAGTGCAGGATAACAAACAAAGCTATTATAAATAATCCTAAAAGTAATGAATTTGAGGTTATTAAACAGTTTGACATTTTGGGGGTACCAATACTTAAAAACTAAATGTTACCAAAAATCGTTTAAGAATGAGCTTCATTCTTCAACGATTTTGCGTGCGAGAATATGACATTCTTACATAAAAATCGAGAAAATCCTTTTTATGATTTATTAAATTCACAAAATTATACTTATTTTTGTACTGAGAAGCAGCTCCGTCCGAAAAATAGGAAATTTTTTTTATCTTATCTTCTCCAAACTTATTTTTTAGAAATTCAATCAGTTTAAAATTAAAAAGGTGAACAGAGCTCGCGTCGTGACTAACTTTTTACGAAATGACAACGTAGTTTATATGTTTCATTTCTTCATTTTCTCTATAATACACAACGTAAGGGTGAATTGTAGCCTGACTGTTATTCCAATGATGAGATTGGATGGCATTTTGAACAGAAAAAGTATAACTTTCAGAAAAATCAAGGCAAACAATAAATTCTCCATCCTCAACAGATTCCTTCTTGTCAGTAAAATATGACGCTTGAGATCGTGCAAGAAAATCATGTCTCAATAATTCAGGCCATTTTTGTCTTAAATCATTAAAAAAATCTTTTTTCGTTTTCGTTTCTTCAATGATTTCAGTTCTAAAAAATTCAAAATAAATTAACTGAATTGAGTAATAATAAAAAAAAGAATAATCAAAAAAATTAACTATTTAAACATACAAAATCTAATAATTTGATTATTAATTAAAAAGAATATTAATTAATAAAAAAAATATTAATTACTCAGTCAAGTAAATATAAAATTATTTGATAAGAATAATTACAAAAATTAAAAAAAAAATAACATTTGACAGAAAATTTCTTTACCTATCAGTAC